GTCTGCGGACTGGCGCGGCACGCCCGGGGCGCCAAGCGCGGCTGCGGAGGGGCGGACTCGCGGTCACCCGCACGAACGAAGCTCCCTGGGAGTCAGGGCGACCCGAGGAACAACCCGCGGAAGAGCCCGTGAGGTGCCCGAACGGGGTGCCGGGTCAGCGGAAGCGAGCGGAAGCCCAGACCCGCGTGCTGGACTCCGCACTGGCCACGGACCGGGGATCTGGGGAACCGAGACCCAGTTCTTCGCTCCACACGCTGCACGCCACGGGCCATGGGCCGAGAGCCGAGCGCTTGCGAGGGCGAGGCGATCGCCAAAGGACGCGTGTGAGGCTCTGGTCCCCACCTCAGAGAGGAGCAGGAGGCGCGCAGAAGCAGCTGCGTCCTGATGTTCCATCTCGATAAGACGCCCCAGTTGTCAAATTAAAAGAACAAGAGGGTACTTGGTAAGATTCGAAAGGAAAATGTTTATAATTTAAGCCATGAAGGCCTCTTTGCTAAAATCTGAAGTCATGGAACTAAACAGGACACACCTAAAACCTAGAGATAGCTGGCCCATCACAATCACCTTATATGGCTGAGAGATGCAGCGTGCTCCTCAGGGCAAGTTCAACTAAAATTACAGTGGTCCAAGATGCGTCCAGATGAAGCCAGGGAGAGAACCACACAGAGGCTGTTCACCTCCTTGGGTTACGCTGAGGTGCAAACTCGATGGCCCAGGAAAGCCACCGTCACATGATCATGACCACTACAGGGAGCTGAGTGGGGGTATTCATCAGACTTCCCCTCCACTCCTTCCCTCTGCCAGGAGGTGCCCTAAGGTTCCTTCAGATTTCTGGAGCATCCACAACTCTCCAGGGTGAGGCTCTCTGTCCTGTGAAGCTGGCCAGAACCGAGCTCCTGGATAAGTGCCACAGTAGCATTTTGATGACTATGCAAACCACTCTAAGTCCAAGGAGGACTTACATATCCCTAGGACTTACCACTAAAAATTAGATCTCACCATGAGTGGGATGAATAAATACACCAAGACCATGATAACAGTTGATATCCACAAAGATTTATTGAGTGCCTGTGAGAATGAAGACAAAATGGTCCCTGCTCTCCTGGAGCTTACAATTGCGTCACTCCAATATTTGACTACATTAAAAACTGCAACAAGCATTTGTCTTTGTCTAACCATCAGTAGCATTACATGAAACGATTCTTTCACATTACTGGTCATGGTTAGAGTGAATAAATGAGTAAAACATAATTATCTTTGAAATCTGTAGTCCCAGTGATGACACGATGTGTAAAGGCTAGCAAATGCAAATTTATGGCTTGATTCCTCATGTATCTGAGGACCCTGGTGAAAAACAGCCTGAGCCAGACAGAAAAAGCCTACATAACAAAAGTCCTAAGAACGCTGGCATAGTTTATTATATTATCAAACCACAGAGCTCTTGGCAGGGCAGGAAATTATTTCTGGCATATTTTGTGCAATATAACCAAATTGCCCAGACCTACAAATCTCATAACCATACATGACTCACTCAGGACATAAGTATGATTTACCTTCATGATTCCTAAAGGGCTCTAGGTGTACATTTATTTTTTAAGGGTTCTTAGAAGATTTGCAGCACAAGTGGCACACTGAAACTTTAGTGAAGACTGCTATTGAGACATCTAAAAATTAAAATGGCAATGTCTAATTTTACTACACACACTGGTGCAGGGTTCAGAATTCAAACAGCAAAGCACCTGGCTTTTAATCTCCACATGCATCTTCTAGGGCTCAGTGGTGGGCACAAGAATCACTGTGAGAGGCTGTGAAAGAAAACACTGTTTTAACTACACTGGCAATAACTTTTAGGAGTAGTCTAGATATCAACTCCCAAATCACCAACTTTATTAAGATCAAAGTGTTTTCTAAACTTACACTTGACAGCTTACCTACTTTTAAATTTTTAGTCATTGAAAAAAACCCTTCACATTAAAGTGAAACTCTTAAACTCCAAGAAAACCCCAGCTTTTATGCAGAGTGGAGAGACTACCTTGGGTCACATGACAGAAAGGTCAATCCAAGGTGGTTTTTAGGTCAACTGCTTTTTTTCTATTTTTAAAAGAAAATCACCGTCTCAAAAACCACTTAGCTCATAATGAATCTAAAATACACTATTTATTACACATTTACTAAGCACCAGGCACAAAGCTAGCCCTAATCTCCAGTAATGAAAGGAATCTCCTTATGGCTTGATCTTCCCATTCACAGATGAGGTGGGCAGACCTGCCTCAGGGTGTGTCCCAGGTCCGTCCGGCTCTGTCTCCTCTTCCCAACCCCCAGCCCCTGTACCCAGCAGTGACTGTCCCTTTAGCCAAAGCTGCTACTGATTTCACTGGAGACTCCCTCAGAAGCAGAAAGGTTCAAATGGGGAGGAGGGGAGGACAGGAAGACAACGGAAGAGTTGGGCTTTCCATTTGTATTCTAAAAGGCACTTCCCCAAAGTGGAAGATTCACTTAGGTTTTTTACTAACTGCAGTACAGCTCCAGCAGAAAAAGTTCACCTCCCTGCGGCAACAGACGCTAAGACTGCTGCCTTCCCCACTTTGGGGCTGGGTTGTTTTTCAATTGAGCATTCATAAGGCAAGCCAAGGGGGAAGACAGCTGCGAGAATGTTCCTTGGTTTCCTTCTTCACAACTGTAAAGAACTTTAAAAACTTCTAATTAAGAAAGTGATAGTTTCAACCTGTTACTTGGAAAATCAAAGTATATACTTTCCGAGAGACAGAAGACGTTTTGATGGAGCTTAATGCCTTCTTTGGAATAAGCCAATTATAGGCTTCTAAGAAGATAACTCCTAGCAAGATAAAACTATCATCTCTTCTGAAATGGCAATTTCCTTATTCTTAAGAGTGTAGCTGACTTTACAATAAAGTGGAGAACAATGACACAGCCTGACAATCTTCGTTAGTTTTTAATGTCATACACCAGAACACATGAAAGAAAAGAGTATCACCAGTAAAGTCAACCCCTCTACTTGGCCTAGATACAAGCTATACACAGCTTGATGAAGATGAACTTTTTCTTCACCAGAACTAGGAGACTTTTTGAAAAGAGGCTAGGAAAGACAATCAAGAATGAAGGTGCCTAAAAAAAAAAAAAAAAAAAAAAAAA